CCCCAAAACCCCAAAACCCCAAAACCCCAAAACCCCAAAACCCCATGATAAGAGAATAAGATGAATTAATGATTTGATAAAATACTATTTTATGAAAACTAATAAGATTAATTTCTTTAAAACAGATGCTTGATTAGTGCACAAAATAAAATTTATATTGCGAATTCTTTTCGAATCACTAAAGCTATATGGTCTAATGATCTACTTCTTGCTTGTATTCTTCTTCTCCATACCCATCTTCAAAGTCTTCTAGAATCATTTCATCTAAGTCAACATCGATGAAATCAAAGTTGTTCTACTGTTATAGCACAGCTTGATGATGCCTTTTTACCTGCTGTCTGAACAGCTGTTTTTTCTTCTCTCTAGTTGTCATATAGACAATTTTTTCTTCCTACAAATCCAAAAGTCTACATTCTAATTCCTCATGGTCAATAAAGTTCATTTAGTTACTAAAGTTTTTCATCAAATTTTACTCATAGCTTTATTGATTTATTGATGAACTCTATGAGTGAGAATCCATACTAGATGGGTCATCTATAAGTTTATTAGAGCTTAATTATTTGCCGACTCTTTTTTTACTTTCTTAAATTACACTCACTTCATCATTAAGGAAATCATCATTAAATAACTATGGATTATTGGTTAGTTTGTCAGTAGTAACATGATTTTTCTTCATTGTCTCTTCCATTAATGTTAATTAATTTTGAGGTGAGTCAATTGGATTCACAGTATTTTTCTTGGGTTTTTACTATTTTTTAGTATCATGATGAAACATTTAAATTAAGTGCTCTTTAAAAGGAATGTAGTCAGTCCATACATTTTACTTTTTACTCTGCTTGACATTCTTAATCTCAATCATATCAAGAATTTTTTACTATTCATAGATAGCTCTATTTCTAGCCTCAATTTAATCACGAGTGGAATATTTCCTCTTCTTAGATTCATTCAAGTCTTTCACCAACCAATCCTCTATATCTCCTTATATCTTTATTAAGTCCTCATCATTATTGTGAGTGCTTGGCTGTGTAGGATAAAATGAATCTCTCTGAGATAGCTAGCTATTTGTAATTAATAACTCTCCCTCTAAATTCCTTGTTGTTATAGCCTCCTTGCTGTTGTTTCTGCTTTCACTATAGTCATTCTCTGATTTGTATTCCTTAGAGTCAATTTTAATCAGCTTCTTCTTCTTTTTATTCTTTATTGAAGTATCATTCGTGTCAGTTTCCACTCTATTGTCAGTCGACTAAAATTATGTCCCTAAGTTTGAATTTGATAAAAAATTCTCCATTTCTTCTTTCGATACGTTAAGATCTATTTTATTATTATTTTTAATACAACTAGCTTGATTTTTCTTAAGAATACTTGGATACATCTCAAAATTTGAAATGACATTATTACTTTTGTTAATTTTTCTCATTTATTCGAAGTCAGTTTTGAAAATCTTCTCATCATCATACTAATCAAAGTTAATCTAAGTATTTAAGCGATCCTTTTTCCTCATTATTACGAGATTTATAAATTTAAACTATTCTAATCTCACCTTATTATTGACTTATCTCCCTCAACGGGGTTTTGGGGTTTTGGGGTTTTGGGG